CTCTCAAAGAAGAAAGAGATAAAGAATCGCAACATTTTTGTTATTATTTAAGCGTGTGCCCCCCTTTTTTTTTGGTTTTATAAAAATGTTTATAATAATAATTTCTTTTTCAGCTTTTCTACATAATGTTATTCTTGTTTTCTTATATTTACATAAAATTATACATTCATATATGTGTGTATATAATTCTGCTGTTTCTTGTTCTTATTTACTTGTGGTTTTTTTGTTTTGGTAACAATGCCTGTGTTTTCATATATGGTTTAAATTTTGTGATATGTTAAAAAATTAAATAACATTTTATAATACTTTATCGATAATAAATTTTATTTTGATTATATTAATATTCAAAATATTTTCATTTTGTTCATTCTTCTTACATAGAAAAATAGAAAGAGCTAATATATGAGTGCCAAAGAACTGTAACTAATGTGTCATCGGATGAATGGACAATGCACTCACTCAAAATTAAAGTAATCAAAATATATTATAAAAAAAATTAAAATAAAAGAAGAGGCGATATACTGTGAGTAAGAGTGATGGCAAGTGGCACATATAGGTATTAAAAGCACTCAGTCCACACGAAAATGCGAAGTAATTGCAAAGTAAGTAGATAATTTCCATACTGTGGCTTGGTTTGTTATAAAATTCTCAAATTCTAGTACATGCTATACTACGATATACTATAACAGAGTACGGTCGTTCTCATCTACAACTTATTCTGTATAAGTATAAGATCTTAATGGGAAACAGAAAGTAGTGTATTGGAAGAGTTTTTCTTTGGTGAATCGGATGAATTATCAGCTCTTTTTGTTTTGAATGAAGAGAGTAACATTTGTAAGGGAAGAGAAATTGTCTACTTTCAATAGTCTGAAGAATTCTTTTCCTAAACGCTTCTTATTGCCTAATTTTTAGATTTGCAGAGAAAAACATGCCTACTGCTGTTGTTTGTGCAAATGAAGGTAATATGGGCTATACAACAGTTATTTCATATAAAGTGTAACGAAAACACAAAAAAAAAATATTTCATGATTTGCCTAGAAATATGCAATTTTAACGAAATTTATTTAATTTATTTATATTCGAAATTTATAAAGATTTTCTTCAATATTAATTTTACATTCTTCTAACAGTCTGTTTTGTATCTCAATTGGTGGATTTTTATTATAATGAATAAGGTTTTTCTTGAATTTTCTTAAACATAATATATAATTGCCTTAACTTTTATTTCTCTCCCACAATAGTTGTTTTCATCATTCGGAATAAAAACGACATTTTAACAATTAATCGCTGAATTTAAGTTTCACATTAATGACCTTAGAGTTTTCAACATAAACTTATTGATTTTCATTGTTTCTATGTTTGTGTGTGTGTGTTTTTTTTTAAATAAATACTGAATAAATTATAAATAGTATGAAAAAAAAAATAGTTAAAATTCAATCCATGTTAATAGCAAAGCAAAAATGGAAAAAAAGTAGTAAATATTTAAGTAGTAAAGTTAACGACATTAAATTATAAAGTTATAAAAAAGGATAATCAAAACAAATTAAAAAAAAAAAACAAGAAACAAATTCATAAGAGCAAAAAATGAAACCATATATAATATGTATGTATGTATATGTAAATGACTTTTATATTTAATTTATTGTGCGAATGTTTGACATTTTGAACTTTCAATTTTTTTTGCTCATCATTCTTCCTATCATTTTTAGTCAAATTTGTTTGTTAGGATGTATAACAAAAAAAGAGAAACGAAAATATATAATATTATATAATGTATACTTATATGTACATATGTATATATACATAAAATAATATTCCGAGGAAATTAATTTTGCTTTTATATGGTTCAATGAATTCTGATCTTAATTAATATGTAAACAATAATTTACGATAATTAGGTGTTAAAAAAAAAATTAAATGAATTTTTTTTTCGGAATAAATGAATTTAATAAGTATTTGATAATATTGCAAAAATATTTACTGTTTATATAAAAGTTTATTTTGGTAAAAATTTTAATGGTTTTAATAGGAAACAAATTTGTAGGTAATTTACATGTTTATAGAATTTCACTTGATATTTTAACAATCTATAAAATGATTTTAATTGGTAATTTACGGTCAATAGAATATAATTCGATTATACTATGAAATAATTCAATAGAATCAATCATCCATATACTAGTGGAAATATTGTAAATATTTACAATTTAGTTTGCTATACTGGATAATGGATATACTAGATATAATAAATTTAAATTTAAAAAAGGGAAACATTGCTTTAGTAATAAGAAAAGAATTTTATTAATAGTGTGCAGAGCACAATTTTTAATAGATAAATTAGCTAAAATGATCATAATTTAATTAATAATTTGTATATTCAAAAAATTGGCATACAAATTTTTTTAGAATTAACGTGGGTTCTAACAAATATTTGGAACTGAGAAAAATTAACAATTAACGACAATAATTTAGAAGCATTAATTATTTACGATATCAGATTCATATTGTATACAGCTTTCTTTTAAAAGTTTTTTGGATTACATTTATTAAACATTTAATATAACATTAACAACATAGCGTTGAATTTAAAAAATGTTTCAGAAATTACTGTATTATATTTACAAAAACTGCATCAAAAATTTAAAATAGGGCTCATTTACTTGCCCCTTTATTTTTCTCAATTTTCAAATTCATTTTAAATTAAATTTGAATAATCGAACGCTGTTCTTGTAAAAATTTCGATTCTCTATTCTGTTTACTCTTATTTAATAGTTCTCTTAAAATTGTCATAACTCATGAAGCCAAAATTTGTTATTTATTATCGCCACCTTGCCGACAGAAATTGAGATTATTTTATTTAAATTTTAAAAAATTTTTATACTCGTAAAGTATTTAAAATTTCTATTATTTAAATATATATGTATATATATGTAAATATGAGTTAATTTTTATAATTAGGGCATCATCCTCAATATTGATTCTTTCCATTGACGCAAATCAATCTAAATTTTTAATCTAAACCATTTTAAAATTAAAACTGTTAATGGAAAATTTTTTTCGAAATTTATAATATTTACTTATACTTAAAAAATAAATTAGAATTAATATGTGAAAAATTTTATATTATAAAAATAGAAAAGTAAGATTAAAAATATAAAATATATTTTATAAAATGTAATAAAATTAAATTAACGAATATATAAAATATAAATATTTACGTGAAAAGAAACAAATCATAGCATTCTAGAACACACGAAGTTTTTTATATGCTTTTGTTTTTTTGTCGTTTATGAACGTACGTTCAATATTAATTATTTTGTTTATAAACATTGATCATCTACGTCATCTCAAAGTCATTATTATATATTGCGTATACATATATATTTTGCATACTTTGACTGATAATAATTATGAGTGAAAAAAAATATAGGTCAACTAAAACAAAATGATTTAATATAGCATAAGTACAGTAGTTGTATATAATGATAAGAAAACAATAAGACAGAAATAGAGGATTATATTAAATAATTCCATATAACAGTTTACAATCTACATAATCCAAAATTATAAAAAAACTCTTATAAAACGTTTTGGCATGTTGTTTATATCGGTTATGCACAATTTTGTACTCATCACAGACTAAAAGTTGTCATAATATATGAAGCCCAATATGAAAGAAAAATTGTTTTGAATTTTGTGAATTATGAGACATAGCCAAGTAGATTGAGTACAGAACTACCATATAGTGTTGAACAAATCAATATTTTGTTTATTAAAATATTTCATTTGAAAAATTTGAGTCTAAAATTATCACTTTTATAATGAAAATTACATTTTATATAACAATTATTCACTTATAATCGAATATTGTAGCATATATTTAAGTGGAATTCTTCAAAAATAAAATTTTGAATAAAAAATTTCAATTTAGTTTTCGACAATAATATTTTGAAGTATCGAAAAATTTTCGAAAAATTTTCTGCAAACCGACAATAGTAAAGAGAAACGAGGGAGAACTTAATTTTGTTCTAATACTATACTCTTATAATATGAGAATTTAACATATTATATTAAAATTTTAAATATTTTAGATTTGCCGTTTAAGAAAAATATTATATTAAAATTATGATTAATATTTGACATTCCGGAATTCTATATCTGTAATTGTATCAGATATGAGCGATGTAAGATTTAAATTTTCGAAATTTTATTAAAAGACGAGAAGTCAAAATAAATTGCACTCAATAAATACGAGAAATATGTTGTTATTAAGAGAGCGTCTACTCAAATATATTATAATAAATTGAAATATGCCATAATTATAATCAGAGTAGAATCAGAGTCGATTAGACACTGTTTTGTTTTAATTAAATTAAATAGAACTATTTTGTTTTAATTCTAGATTTGATAATTAATTTTAAATAAGTAAACAACAAATAAATTATTATAGGTAAATATTTTTTAATCAATAATAAAATCACAATATACATACCACATAATAATTTACATTGAAAGTCTTGACCTTCACAAACTATTACAAAACATATTGACAATTTTTATAATATTTTCTCCATTAATAAAAACTTGTATTGAAAATTTTTTAAATAAACAAAAATAGCATTCAATTGCAATGTGGGGTACTAATAATATAATTTTTTTTTTTTATAAACTATTATACTTGTAGATTGGAAGAAACCTGCTTATTAAAAACTATTTTAAGTTAGCTAAATTTTATTTTGTTTTGAGATTATTTTATAAACTTATTCTAAGTTTTTTTTTTCTTTCATTTCGCATTCGTTTTATAAATTTCCTAGCTTGTTCGTACTCTCTCTCTCATTATATGTAAGAATATAAGCTATAGAACTATTATAGTGTTACTTTATATGTAAAATTGAACTATTTGAATCGATTTATATTATATAGGTACACAATCAATACAAGGTTTATAGTATAAAAGAAGAAATTTAGATTTTAGAATAGTTATTATAATATTAAATTCAGTACGAATAGGAAGAAAAAAAAATATTACATAAAATTATAAATTAAAAATTGTCATAATTAAAATGTGTAATTCGTCATCATCTGAAATGTCATCTAATTTGTAAGTCATACATAATTTGTAATTTGGAATGATTTCAATTTTAAAATTAAATTAATAATTATAATATTTTCGAATTTTTTAATAATTATTTAAATAAATTTTATTTTTCATTATTCTAATTTACAGTCTAAATGTTATTAATGATGATAGTCCAAGATTAAGAGCAAATTCATGTAATTCAACATTAAAATTATCAATTAATACATCAAATATTTTCAATGATACAAATTGTTATGGAATACCAAGATCTAATTCATATAGTCATGGTTTAAAATTAAATTCACCAATTTTAAATATAACAAATGAAACTTTTACTACAATTATATCGAATTTGAAACGTAATAGTAAAAATTTTAATAATGATATTGATAGAAGTCGTTCCGATATAGATATACATAATAATATGGATATTGAAAATGAAAAAGTTTTTGAATTACTGTGTAAACAAGGTGCTACTGTTCCATTTTTAAAGTAGTAGAAAAAGTTGTTGAAATGAAAAGAATGGTTTCTGTTTTTTCTTCATCATTAATTTTGAAGTGAATAACAAATATGGATATATGCAGAAGTGAATAGAATATACTTGCATACATATTGGACGAGAGGATTTTGATGAAAGAATAAAATTTTCAGAATAATATGTGAAGTGCATAAAATCTGATTTAATTATAAAATTTTTATGAATTTTTTTAAAATTTATATCATTTGCATTTAAGCATAACAATCATTGGATATTAAATTTTTATCTAATTATATAAGCGAAACATCTGCTAACCATAATAATGTTATGAAGGTTTTTTGTTATTTTTTTAATTTTAATAGTTATAATTTTATAATTTAACAATTCTATAAAACACTATTATAATTGGATAATAATGAAAAAGTTTTAATTTTCATTCCTGCCGTATTCAATGCAATGTTGTGTTTTAGATGCAATGAGTGGAACTTTTTAATATCAGTATAAAAAGTTTAAAGAGTAACAAATTTTATTAATCCTTGAAAAAGAACAGAATTTTGTATATAGGATTTAAAAACTTGTATATGAATTTCAAATGCATAAAATTAAAAATGATTATTGTTACTTAGTACTATAAAAATAAATAAAAACATTAAGTACTAAAAATAAAATTTATGTGTATATTATGCGTGGATTATGATAAGATTATAATTTATATATATATATATATACAAAAAAGTACAAGAGGCAAAAATAAAAGAATAATTATTAAAAAATAAACTTTAATCAACAGAATTTTATTAATTGATTTTAATATTAGTAATATAACCTCAATTTTTTTGTTGATAAGTTGATTGCTGGTGGTCATTGATTCTCTAAAAAAAAAAAAAAAATAAAAAAAACAAAATATTAATCCAAGAATTATAAAATTAATCCAATTGAGCTCTTGATTTTGAAAAAAAATTTGATATTCAATCTGTTATCAATTTTAAAATTCTTATCGAAAAATAAATAAGTATATAACAACACTCGTAACCATTTAGTTCAAATGTCAAATATTTTCATTTCATTTTGCTTTCACTGCAAATTCACTCAGAATTTGTTTTCACCATTTTTGACAAAATTGTCATATTTTATTAAAATTTCATTGTTATATTTTATTAAAACAAAGTTATTTTTGTAAAATATTATGGGGAAATATAATTCGGCAAAATTTTTAAAAAAATTTAAATAAGAAAATATTAGAAAACATTTTTTTATATTGAATTTCTCATTATTGCAAGGGAAATACGTAAGGGCTGGTAAGGGTGAAATCTGTTCTAATTTGCATTAATTTTTGACATTTGAAAATTAAATAATAAATAATTTTTAAAATGACTTTTAAAAATTATAAAATTTTATGTAAAATTCTTTTAGGACTGCGGCAGCAGAAAGTAGATATTCTCCGACTTGTTAGAGTAGATATTCTTAAATCTGTTTACTATACGTAAGAAAATTTTTTATTAAGGAAATTTTTTCGTGAGCCTCAATAATATACGAGCGCATCTTCAAAATTAAAAAGGACTTTATATTAGATTACTTAATTTACATAATACATATGTGAATTTTATGCGATGAATCCATTTTGCGGTAGATACCTTTAGGTTTATTCCATATTAACACATATAGCATATATATCGTCGGCATTATGGAAGAGTCACAAAACAACTTTTTTTATGTTTCGAGAAAAACGCATTTGAAAATATACACAATAATGTCAGTTTACAGAGACGTATAAGATTTACAACATTATTTTTCCGAATTTTTCTGTATACGTAAAACAAAACTCACGAAAAAGCAATTTTCTTGCTCTTCCATAAGCACCGACGATATGTATAGTCTATAAATAACATACATAGTCTGTGGCATTGCTACAGTTAATCCTTTTTGTACATCATTTGCATTCTAATAACGTAAATTTAACATTTTAAAAAAATGTGTAACAATATGTGTTTCAATTTTATTTTATAATTTTCTTTGCATAACATGATATAAAAAATTGAGTAGCTCATCAGATTTACTGTGTGTATACTTGAAAGAATTGGTGATTATTTGATCTAGAAGGAAACCAAAAAAAAGAAATAAATTTTTTTCACATATGTAATATCAACTGTAATCGAAATTATTCAACAAAAGATTCATATATCTCTTTTATATTGTTCAATTCAATGAAAACTGCGAAAGGATAAAGAAAGCAAAAAATACACATTTTTTAAAAATTCTCTTTTGAATTTTCTCTTCTTATATGTTATATGTCTTTTTTTTTGGTATTTTTTAATTATCAAAATAATTTTTCATTTATTTTATAAATACACTCCCAAGCACATAAACGATCTTGAATTTTGCACTGCAATTAATTCATTTATTTTTAAAATATTTTTTAAATTGATTAAAAATCAAATAAAAATTAAATAAAAACCTAAAATAAATCTATAAAGTGAATTTTAAATTTAAAACAATAATTTAAATATAAAATTATTTTTAAAAAAAAATTTTGATTTAAATTTAATAATAAACTTCTCGGGGGCTTTATAGCATTATTATTGTTTTTACAAACATTTAAAATATTAGCTTTTGAGGTTGTAGGGCAGCTATCCGAGCCAATTGAGCTACTCCATTAAAATTTTCAACATATATATATAAAATGTAATTGGGCACATTTACATGTATTGCAGCTACCCGATTGCCCATTGTTCGAATTAATCTAATTACAATAAAAGAAAATTTTAGCAAGAAAGAAAAAATTTCTAAAAGTTTTTTTTAAATTTGGTTGTGTTTGCATTATTAAGACAAATCAGAATTTTTTGTCAAGCAATAATATATAAGTATGAATGCCAAGTATGAATACTATTATACCAAGTATAAATACTGCTGAAGAATCCTGCAAGTGGTTATAAATTCTCTATACCATAAAGTTAGTATATTTATAACTAAGGTGCAGAGTATGAAAGTAATTATGATTTTTAAAATGTCTCCTCCCTACTATTGCTTCATTTGAAATACAATAAATTTTTATTGTACTTTTGCTCATCACGTGCACATACCATCGTCCATCTATTACTTCTCAATTATGTACAGAACAAGAAATTTTGTATATTTAAATTTATTTGATAAATTTTATCTCTACTCTCATACAAACCTAATATTTATTTAATAAATAAAACAGTGTCGAATTTTTTTAAAATCTAAAATAAATTATTTACAGGGTACTTTTTTAATAATTAATAATAGGGTAATAATAATAATAATAGGGTATTATTAATAATAGGGTATTTTTATAATTTATTAACAAACGCGTGAAATATCCTCAAATTTATTAAAAAATGTAGTATTAAATTACTTACACGTAATAGGCACTGCAATAAACCTAAATCTCTATATCATTTCATGAATTTATTCAATTACATTTTCTTTTCATAATAATTTTCTCACTTTTTCAAATTAATTTTATTTTTAAATTATTATATGAGATTCGAGAAATACACCAACAAATTTTCTTTTAATTTTTTTTTGAAATACTCGTAAAGTAGAAAAATTTTATAAATGTATATATGGAATAATAATTATATTTTATTATAAAAAGGGTAATAATAAAAACGAAATTAAAAGAAAAATGAAAACATAATAATAAAAATAATAACTTTCATTTAAACCACAACTCTTAAAATATAAAAACTTAATTACTAAATTAAATTTTTGTATTTTCTCGGTTATTTTTTTTTTTTTTTTTTGTTCAGACAGTTATTACCTAATTAGAAATCCTTTTTTTTTTCTGTTCCTTTATTTTTTCATTCTTCTTTTCGTTAGTTTTATTTTGTATTCTTTGCTTTGTAAATTTTCATTACCTAGAAGCAAAAAAATTTTCATAGACCTTAAAAATCAAAGGATTTTTTTTTTTTTTTTCTTTTTTATTTGGGTAAAATATAATTTATTTAAACAATATATACGTAAACTAGATATGCCGTTGGTGTTAATATAAGTACATATTATATAAAGGACACTAACAAGGAAATAAACTGTCACAATATAATAACAGTATACAAAGGGATTTACCTAAATATTATCAAATCTCCTGTTGATTTTTTGATGTTACTCTGCTTTTACTCAAAAACTTGATTTTAAATGAGAATTACAACAAAATAAAGGCAAGAGAGAGAGAGAAAATAACAGAGAAAAGTTTTTTTCTTTTCTCTATTTCTATTTTTTATTTTTTGTCTTTTTTTTTTTTGTTATTTTTACGTTTTAACCTTATATTAGTGGTGAACCATGAATATTATGTTGAAATTTAATATTAAGATTAGGTATCATTTAGGTAATATTATATTATTTACACCTGTATGTATGTATGTACATAACTAAATAGTTGTCATCAATAAAATTATGTCTAGGATAAAACAGTTATTTTGTATATATTTTTATATCACATATGCTTATGATATTAATGTATTCTTAATAGATGTACAGAGACTTAATAATTAAACGAAATATGTATACATGTAACGCTAGCCTCAATTTCTAATATGGTTTCTCAAAAATTTCTCCATTGTTTTTAGCTCGAATGAGAATCAAATAATTATTATTAGCTCCTGCCCCGATATAATTGATTTTACCATGGTTGGGTGGGTAAACAATGTTTGTATTTCTCTCTACCCCATAATTATACATGTGAAATATGAAACAACTCCGAAATATCACCTACAACCTTATGGTAATTATTCTGATGTAATATGACAAAAACCATTCCTAATGCCTGAGATGGCGTTTGGCACACTACACAGGTGCAAGATTTCTTTTAAGTTGTACCAACTAATAGTCGAGTCGTTTTGTGTTCAGTTTCTTACGTATATAAAAGTGGTAGTGTCAATTTTTTAAATTTTTTTCCGTCTATACAAAACAAATATTAAATTTTGAGTCATCGTCAAAAAATTTATTATTAATCCGGCCCTGTATACTAATTTCATTTAATATATGGAAAGAAATTAAAACTTTTACTTTCATATAGAGAGAGATTAAATTCATTTAGAGCAAAAAAAAAAAAAAAGAAACAACTATAAACAATTAAGAAAGTTAACAAATATTGCGTAAAAGCCAGTTAATATGTTTTTAAATGAATTTTATATTGAATTACATATATGTGTGTGTGTATAAATAATTACGTATGTACATTATGTATTAATATTCATGTACACATGTATACTTGTATTTTGTAAATTGCATACATAAATAATTTTTCATGTCTTAATTTATTACATTTTTACGTTTTTAAAGAGAATTGACTTAGAACAGCACACGTAAGAAAATTAGTAGATTTTTACAGACAATATAAAAATATTAGGTTCTTATATAAAAGCAACAAGTTATAAAAAGTGTAAGAACTTTACTTTTGATGTTGATTATTTTCATTCTAAATCTCGGCCATTAAAGATGATATTAATGAGGATAATATTTAAAATTTGCTTTATCTTAAAGTATATTTTATGCATATTGCATACTTATAGGCTTTTATCTTAATTATTTTGTTTTTTTTTAAAGATTTAAGATGACGATCTTCTAAAATTAACATTTTATAACAAACTCATATACTTCGCATAATAAAAAATTTCATATATAATTAAATTTTATATTCCACATTTTACGAGTAATTTTATAACAAAATATTTTTTCAAAAATTTATTCATCAATTCTATAAAAACAGATTTAAATGTTAATATTAGCTAGCTATGAAGAATTTTTTGAAATATAAAATTTTTAAATATATTATAGCTTATAAACTTTATAAAAATTTTAAATGAATTTTAACAAAACAGCCATAATT